CGCCGCCGCCGCGTCCTGGGAGATCGACTTCCAGGCGGGCGCGCCCTCGCCAGCGCGCATGCTGCCCGAGTTTCGCCGGCCGGTGGACGGCGGCCGGGGTGACCGGCGCCCCCTGCTCCCGCGGGCCAGGCTTTCCTCCTGCGCCGGGCCGCCGCGCGCGTGGGGGAGGCGAGCGTCTCCGGTGCTGAGCTTCCTAGCCCGCGCCGTCTGCCCTCGGGAATGGGGGCGCCCCCGTTTTGCGGGGCACCTGTCCTCTCCCGTCACAGTAACGTTTAGCCGCACCGGCTTTGTCTTACAGGGAGCACGGTGTTGCGTGCGGGACATTTTGAGTACTGTGACACTATTTGTTCTGTAATGGGGTCATCTGTGTATTTTTAAAACTTCGTTCTGAGATTTCTTTGTGGTCGGTCTTGTCATCGTCAACTGATTTATCTTTTTAAACCCCAAGGGGCCGGGAATGAAATAGTGGTACAGCGCCTGCCTGACCAGCTCAAGGTCCTGAGTTCGATTTCCGACACCGGAAAAAAAAAAAACCTCCTGGGGACTCCGTGTTTGTGTTTTTGTGTGTGCATTAAGCATTTAATGAACTCTGTAGTTGTATGCTAAAAGGTGAAAACACGAAAGTCAACCACTAGCATGAGCTTAAAATAAACAGATGTGTCACACCTTTCGTCAGCCGAAGGATTTAGCGTCGCCGGGGCTGGGTCAGCCGATCGGTTACTCACCAGATCTGGTCCTGCGCAGCTTGGGCTGCAGTCTTTCCCTCCCGAGCTGAATTTTCGGTGTGTTGGGTTGGAGCACTCTTATCTGTCCTGTCTGGCGATCAAGCCTAAGTATTTTCGTGATGGGTTTTAACAAAAGGATACTGTGTTGGCAGCACATCTGTTGCAGTCTGATCAGCCAAGATATGTCAGTATCATTTTCTTTGAGCGGTACCGAATGTGCAGTTTCATATAAACCCATAAATGCATAAATTCTGTGAATTCTAAGCTAAATAAGGTGGTTCCTTCTATTTATTGCATTAAGCCTAAGCTTTTGTTTTAACTACCTAGTTTCGAATGCACCAGTTAGGGCAGTCTACACGCAATCCAATGTCCAGTTTCTGTTTCAAACAGTAAATGTTTAGTCGGTGTTTGAGAAATCAGTGAATTATCTGAAAATTACTGAGAATTTTTTTTTGGGGTGTGTGTGTGTGTGTATTTGGTACAGGGTCTCCCTACGCAGTTTGGACTCTTAGTGATCCTCCGGTTTTCAGCCCCTCAGCGCTGGGATTGCAGGCATGCTCCACCATGCCCAGTCTTTCAGCGGGCCTGAGGGCGGGTCAGGGCAGCAGGGGGTCCCTGCACTTACCTGAGCAGGGTTAGTCCACTGAGCCATCCCGCAGGCCCGAGAATTGTATTTGAAGAGGAGGTTAGAGATCTTGTAGCCCGTTTAGCTTTGTGTTTTTCAGGCTTGACAGGTTAGATTACTTATACATAAGTGTACAGCCCACTAAAATGGGCAGTGAGCGAGCAAGTAACAAATATCTCTGAGCTCTAATATAAGTCATCAACGGCACTGAAGATTTTATACACCGGTGGGCAGCAGGGCAGCTGCCTCGCTTTTTTTTTTTTTTATGGGGCATTGAACTCAGGACCTGACACTTGCCGGGCAGGCATTGTGCCAACGAGTTACATCCCCGGCTTCTGCCTCTTGTTTCTTTTTTCTCCCACAGATTTTTCTAAGAGCAGTGCTAACACTGAGAGGTAAAACTTGAACTAAACAGTGATGTTAGATGGAAAAGCCAAAACAGTTTACTTTCGTCTTTTAAAAGTAGCTATTTGTGGTGGTTTCTGGTTTCTTTCAGTGGTCATGCTGAACTTTGGTTGATGTAATTTAGCATTACTATCTGAGTGAAAATCATACATGAAGGTCTTGTAGAAGAAGCAGATGTTTTGGGAACTAGGCATTGTTTGAGGCATTTTTCCTGTAGCTGGAAGGTAATTGGTTCCTGTGACTTGACAAAATTGAGAAGTTTGAAATAGTATCTTCATTTTAACCTTTAGGTAGAGAGATGTAATATTCTGAGTAATAAGAATAATGTGATGGAATCAAAATAATAGATCTTTAGGTTCAGAGTGTCTTTAAAGAAAACATACTGTATTTCGGTTTTTCCCATATTCTTCCCCCCAAAAGTTTCCCTTTCCTCTCCAGCATTTTTTTTTTTTTTTAACGTTTCCCACAACTTAAAGATTGTATATGCCATTCTTAGCTCTGGTCAACTGTAATCACCATAATCAAGGACAAAGATAGCACTTGAGACAACCGCAGCATGTTCTAAATGTAACATGGCGCTAAAGCGAGGCACATGTTGAGCTTGGAAGCAACTGGAGAAACTTGATACTCAGGAGACCAAAAGTGGTGGAGGTTAAATGGAAGTTTTTACCTTCATAGCAAAAACCAACTTTTACTGTTGAAACTTGATTATCATCAACATTTGCTCAGTGAAGCACAATTAAAAAAAAAAAAAAAAAAGATGTGGAAGGTCATTGTTTTCAGTGCTTTTCCTTTTGTCTCAGATCTCAGGATTGGGAAGGCTGAGTGCTCTCCACTAATGACCTCGTGTCCATTTTTCCACCTTTGTGCCCTGTGCTAGTCTGAACTACTCTTTTCTCTCAGCAGCGAACATGAGAAAGTGGGGAAAAGGAATAAAAGCAGACTCTCTCCATCTTTTCTGTTTGGATGAGTTTGAGCAGTTGCTCATGGATTGACTTCACCCAGTGTACTCTGTTACTGTGTTGAACATTCCAGCAACCTTACCGTTATTTTTGTTTTCCTACGAGAACAAGAATGGCCACAAGTGTGGAAGAATTAAACTTTGGCAGGCCTGCTGAAAGGTTATTTTTGCAGTGATTCTTTTGTATATGTAAGAGAGAAAAGACTTGGAAGAAATAGTTGAACATTTATAAACTGGTTTTTAAAGAAATTCACAAATTACTGCTTTGACAAATGTTTCCAAGGAATGAGGCTGAAGTATTAAATACTAATAACACTGTAAGCGTGCTCCTTCAGGAGTGCACAAAGAAAGGTTACTGGGGCAGTAGCAGCTGTGCCACTCTTTAGAAGCTTGTCACCATTTATGGATAAGGCTTGAGAGAAGGGCCCTTTTCTCTCAGTGCTTTCAGTGCTTTTCTCCTTGGTGTAATGCTGCAGCAGAGGGCAGAGCTGCGTGTGGCACTGCTGGAGCCTCTCAGGCTTGTGGGGTGAGGGAAAGTTTTGCACTCGGTTCATGACTAACCAGGATAGAAAGGGAAGGGACACAGTGGAGACAACGTGAGAAGGTTGCTGAGATGGGTGTGTGAGGACGAACAGAGACAAGCGAGACTTTTTTCTCATTTGGTAGAATCTGAGAGTCGAAATTCTGAAAATGTAACCTGGTCTACTTTGCCAGAGATTCCTTTAGTGAATTAGTCATAAATATTGGCTGATCTGTTAGGACCAGCCAGTGTGCTATGTGCCAGGTGTTCATTCAGTAGTGACCAAAACTAAACTGCCTGTCTTTCTGGAGCTTAGGTTCTATTGGGGAACACCTAAGAAAGTGAACAAACCCAACTCCAGGTAGAGATGAGTACTCAGGTCAGAAGGCAGAATTTGTACAATTTTAACATGGAATATTTAATAGACTTGCGGTGTCGGGAATTGGAGTAAAGGAAAGCCAGAGGATATAGGGAGGGGTGGATGGAGCAGCTGCTGTTGATAGGACTGAGATAGTGTCCACGGAGGAGCCCAGTTCTCCAAGACAAAGCTCCTGACCTTGTTGGAGACAGCATGACCTTGTCTTTCCAGTCAGCAGAGGAGCCATTGAGCTGCACTTGACCTTAGCACCGTTCTCGGCTCCAGGCAGAGGCTGATGAGCCCGGGCCTGTAGGCTGGAGCGTGGCCGTGCCTGCTGATTCCTTACTCTACAGCTGCTACTTGCTGCAGAGGTACTCGTGGCTTTAAAGTTAGCAAGTCTGAAATATGTGTCATCTGGCTCTCATACAAAATTCTGCCATTGCCTGCTTTAGGATACTCTAGAAAGCGGGCGGTGAGATGTTGTGTAGGGACACAGCTTAGAAACCTCCTGAGGTGGGGAGAGGTGATAGGGAGAGTCGCCCCCTCCAGTTGCTGCTGATCCCTTAGGTGTTACAAGTCCTGGGTGCTGGAGGTTCTCTTCCACTGCAGGAGCCTCCATGCCCACGGGGTACCAACGAACCCACCGACTGAGTAGACACCTTGCTCCTGTCTTCTTTTGCCAGGATCCTCCATGAGCAAAGTTCAACGTCAAGGCAATTTTAAAAAGAAAGATAGTATTTAAAGGACCCTGCTCCGTGTTTGCAGAATAGATAGTAAATGAAATTTCAGACCAATGAATTGACAGTTGGCACGTAAACTGAGCGAACTTTGGATATTTTTGGAAGGATGCCAGAGAAAGCCTTTCTGCAGAGGGCCATGTGAAGACTCACTGTGCTGCCT